GGGGGATCCGGAGAGAAGCTCTGAGAGGGTGGGTCGGTGGGGGGGATTAAAGAACCGGTCGAGATTGGTCCGAGAGACGACGGGATCACACGATTGCGACGATTTAAAAGAGACTCGCAGCCCACCAGAGAAGCTTTTTTGCGTGTTTTCGTGCGGGGTGTTCGAGGAGCGCGCCACAACTCTACACGGACATTATGCGCTATTGTCCCACGAAACTAAACGCGCCTGTGATCTTTGAGTTCAATTTGACTCACACTGACAACCACTAAAAACCATTTACACCTGATCACAGTACATTAGGTTTAAAAGAAAGGAAAAGAAAAGAAAAGATTTAATGGTGATACAGTAACATCATTTGTGTAAAAAGAAATAAAAAAGAATTATACAACACATCTTAAATTTACTTGGTTCATTTTAATTACATTTTATAATATCTCTCAATTTTTTTTTATTTATAGATATTATTTTGCTGTTAGTAAATGAATGGTTTACATCTATCCGTTTAAATCCATGACTGTCACAAATAAATCAAAATGACACAAAGCAAGTCAATATGGATCCACACTGCTGCACATCCATCACACACACACACAAAAATGCATTCATCCCCATTTTTGCCAAACAATCTTTCATTTAAGTTTTAGTGATTTTGTGAGCAGCTCAATCATAAAAATGTTAATCAAAAAAATGTTTGCTTCATAAACTTTCCAAAGATACACTGACCCAGCGGTTGGGTTCAAAACAACCCAATAGCTGGGTTTGTCCCTTTTTAACCCAGCGCTGGGTTATCTTTAACCCAGCATTTTTTAGAGTGTACATAAGATGTCAGAAAGATCAAATGTGAAAGGTCATGAAAGGTTGATCTGACCTATGAACATCACAGATGGAATTTTTATTTAAAATTGTCATAAATGTTCTTTCTTTCTTTCTTTTTTTGTTGTAAAATTTTTTTTTTTTATAAAAAACAATTTCATTAGAAAGCCATTTCCTTTCATGGTTTTTGCTTAGATATTTTGGCATGCCACAAGGTCTGGTTCCAATACCAAAACGATTGGGTATTTATAGTGCATTCTTTCCCAAAACCAGGTCAAAATTAGAGATCTAGATAACATTGTTGCTCATTTTTGGATACCGGTAAAGAGGACTCAATCAGATATTTTGAGAAGGTCTGCGATTAATGGCAGGCTCTTATGAATAGAGTTTAGAAATGCCTGTGTAAAAAACTATGAACCAGCAAATGCTGACAGTGTGGTTTTTATACACAGCTGTCGCCATGCATGCATGTAATAAGAAGAAAACCGGGAAGAAGAAAAAGCAGCAGGGTCTGACTCTATAAATCTGTGGCGGTCTCATTGCTACAGCATGGCAGCAGTCTGAAGTGTCACTCAGGCAATAACTCAGGCAGCGGCTAAAATAGGATGAGGCTGTGAATGGCTGTGGTGGCCTTCAGAGTCGTAGCATGCAGCAAAACGGCCTGCAGGGATGAAGCATGCAGGCCTAGCACAGCTCTACTGAGATGCAGTACAGAGCATGGGTGAGGGGACATTGCTCACAACCAGCTTTTAGAGCAGAATGCAGAGCATATGGTCTATTGATGTTAAAGCCCAGGGTTAATAACTTCAAATAACCAGAGAATACTGAAGGCCATATTACTGAAGCCTGTAAACGACCTGCAGTATATACTTGACCTCTCTGCTCAGTCAAGTCCACAGGAACAGTAATTGATAACTTGAGGGTCCATTCAACGTTAAATTCATTTTTTACTCATCATTTCTTATGATCATCATTTGCCACAAAGCCTTTTTGTAAGTTTTGCCCTTGTTGAAGTCAAGAAGTTTTATTGCTGGTCTTCTGATCTTTAATTTCTTATATATAACAAAGTCAGATGTGGAGGCCCATTTGCACCTCAGAGTATAGAAAAGGTATTTTATTTTTCATAATTGTGATTTTACATCTCACCAATTCAACATTATATCACATAAATGTGACCTTATATCTCACAATTGCAATTTTATGTCTTACAATTGCTACCTTATCTCATGCAAATGCAACTTTACATCTCACAAATGTAACTTCATATCTAACAAATGCGACTTAACATCTCATAAATGCAATTTTATGTCTCAAAATTGTGACTTTGTATATTGTAGATATAACTTTATATCTCCCCATTGCCGTTTTATATCACTGTTGTGACTTATCTGTGACTTTATGTCTCACAAATGCGACTTTACATCTCACAATTCCAATTTTTATGACTCGCAACAACGGCTTTATATCTCATAAGTCTCATAATTGTGGCTTTGTCTCTAAAACTTTATATCACCCAACTGCAATTTTATATCTCTGTTGTGAATTATCTTGCAAATGCGACTCACAAAAGCAACTTTACATCTTGCGCCGTTACATCTGACAAATGCAACTTAACATCTATTAACTGCAATTTTATATCTCACATTTGCGACTTTGTATCTTGCACATACAACTTTACATCTCACAAATGCAACTTTATATCTTATAAATGTGATTTTATGTTTTATAATTGCAGCTTTGTATCTTGCAAACACACATGGACCATTTTACTATCTCACTTGCAATTTTATATCTGTTGTGATTTATCTCAAAATGTGACTTTTTATGTCACAATTGCAACTTTGCATCTCACAAATGCAATTTATGTTTTTATATTTGCAGCTTTGTATCTTGTCAATACAACTATATCTCAGTTGCAATTTTACTTGTCTGCTGCGATTTATCTCAAAATTGGACTTTTTATGACTTTTTAGCTAACGATTGCAATTTAATTAAAACACATTCTCGCAACATATCTTTACATCTCTCAATGTGACTTCATATCTAATGCAACCTCATTTATTATATTAAACATTATCTCACAAAATCCAGTTTTATTTTGTACTCTTTTTCTACTCTCAGTGTGGAAATGGATATCCATAGTTTGGGTTGTCTCAACTTAAAAATCTTTTAAGTTTGATATGAACATACATACAGATAGAGGAGTTAACACATGAGAATTTGATGGTCAAATCTGTCAGAGGGGACACCTGCTCACAATACACACTCTCCCTTCCTTCTAATCACGAGGTCAAGTGGGTTTCATTTAACACAGCCTACCTTCGGTCCTCCCTCACTCTCATTCACATTCACTCAAACCATGTAATCTACCACAGAGAACAGCAGATTATAGGGTAGAGACCTCATTTCCGAACGGTTCAGTGGAAAAGAAGCGAGGGATAAAGACAGATAAAGAAAAAGAGGAAGAGGAAGATTGAGCCAGCTGAGTGACGCTGGCGATACACTGCTGTGGCATGGCTCAGCTGGCATGGTTGAATGCCTGATTGTGTGGGCAGATGTTTCAGAGAGAAGGGAGCAGACCCCATAGGGGCTGTGGTGACACAATAGGGAGGCTTTCAATTAGGCCAAACTCAGGGGCTCTTATGCCAGGTGCCAGCGGCCAGGTGTTATCTTATGCCACAAACCATCGTTCGTGCCTTCTTATACATTACAAATACAGTACATTCATCCCGAAAGCTGCGGTACTGATTTGAAGGGTGCGTGTGCGTTTGTGAGAAACACACACACACACACACACACACACACACACATACATACATACACAGAGAGAGAGAGAGAGAGAGAGACTTTTCATGTCGAGCTAAGTTGGTGCAGTTCTGGTGGTGGCTGCCAGCATGGCTCATATGAGTGCTGGCGGGCGGACCCCGAAGGCACTGACAGAGACAAAGGCGGGATCAGAGCACCGGTCGCAGGATGCAGCTGGCGCGCATCAAGTGCTTCCGCATGGCAATTAAACTGACGGCTGGACTCGAAGACACGGCCAAACTAATACTCGTACACAAAGTCCACTGTATCTGCATCTCAGCGCACTTTAGAACGCCGTACACAATCAGGAGGGTTGATGACTATTGTGAATTGCAAACTCGACTCTTTAAACAATAAATGTCTCACTGCTGCAGACGCAAATGTGTTTTTTTTTTTCAACATGCTCTCGAGTTTTTCATTTCATCTGCAGCGGTCTTTTGATGAAATTTCAATAACTTTCATGAGAAACAAAATAGCTTTTAAAGGGGTCATATGATGCGATTTCAATTTTTCCTTTCTCTTTGGAGTGTTACAAGCTCTTGGTGCAAAAAGAAGATCTGTAAATTTGCAAAGACTAAAGTCTCAAATCCAAAGAGATATTCTTTATAAAAGTTAAGAGTCAGCCACACCTATCTAAAACGGCTCGATCTAACACGCCCCCACATATCTACCTCACTCTGTGGGAAAATTTGCATAACGCCTCCCAAATGTTCACGCAAAGAAAGAAGGCGTAACTTTTATTCTCGCTGTAGTATTGTTGACGCTGCAGCCATGTCGTGAAGGCGCTGTGTGCTTAGTTGTGAAAGCGAAACTACTTTGTTTGGTCTTCCAAAAGAGGACACGACTACAAATCATTGGTTACGTTGTATTTACAACACTGTTGCAGAACAGTTTAACCCAAATATCCAGATGTGTGCAGCACATTTTATGGAGGACTGTTTACTGATCCTGGGAGAGTAACGTTAGACTACAATGCCGGCAGTTCTGACTCATTTCTCAAAACCAGAAATGAGTCAGAACTCATTTCTGAGTTCTGTTTGTCATTTCTCTGATCACAAATGCAGACAGAGTTTTATGTTAACGCGGCGCAATGCAATGCAACGCAACGCGTAAAAAGACAGTATAAGTCATTATAA